GTCACCACGTATTCTGGGTTCTACCAGATGGTAGGGTTACAAGGGAGACCCAAAAAAGATGAACTACAGTGAACGAATAAAGACCATGGAATTGCAACACTCATAGGGTGCAGAAAGGCAGAAACCCTTCTGTCATTTGATGATAACCAGAAAGTACAGTCTGTTGCAGCCAATAATTCACAGTAATATAAATGATAAAAGAATAGCCAGAAGAAAAAGAACTGCCCAGCTCCAGAGACCGCTTTGGATGTAACTCAACATTCAAAGTCAAGAGAGCCACAAAAACACGTAGACTCCAGCAAGAGAGAGAGGAACAAAAGAATACACGGTGCACATGGCTACACAAAGTGACTTGTATATCATGATCATTGTCATCATTATGGCATGAACCACGGGTCATGCCGTGTGAATGGATCATGTCCCAAGGATGCTGGCTGCCAAACCTGGGGTTCCAGATGGTCTCTGAACCACAACATCCACAGGAAGATCATGGGCAGGGATGTCTGGGACCTCCAGAAATTATAGTGCAACGACAAAACTTCAGGCACTTGGTTTGGGGACCATGGAGATCATGAGAAAGCAAGGGGGGGGGACACAGGGAGAACGAATGGAGGGAAACCATCAACCAGAGTGAAGGTCCAACTGGAGAAATGAAATAGGACACAATCCATTACCATCTTGCTGTGGTTTTAATTCAAAAACAACGACTGTTGTATCAAACCTATAACCTAGGGCAGGGAATGGTTGACTCCTCCTGATGTTTTGACCTAATTAATTACATTCTCTCCAATTGATTCTGACCCTCTCCAGGCTTCCCTTGACAGAGAGTACTCTATAGACGTGGTCTACCATTCCCTTCATTTTGGGGCACCTCTGGGCAAATCCTACATAGGCTGGCTCTTCTCTTTACAGGCACTGTGAGGCAGCAAAATCCCCAAGCACTGCAGGCACTTGCTCCAACCAACAGAGCTACCCAGCCAGGTACTGTTCTCACAGCTGAGGCCACCGGGAACCAGAAGGCCCAAAGCCACAAAAAAAAAAAAAAGTCCCATTCTTGCCCTAGTACCTGCTAATATATTCCTGTTCTCACAGCTGAGGCCACCGGGAACCTGCTAATATCTTCTGGAGGTGACTCAGGCAATAGGCACGATCACCTATGCTGGATAGCTCAGGGGTTTAAGCATCTGGTTGCGGAGACAGAAGTTGGCAGTTCGATTCCTTTGTGGTGCCTCCTTGAAAGGGGCTGGACTGGATGATCCTTAGGGACCCCTTCCAGCTCTGCCGTTCTAAGAGGATGATCATTAGCACACCACTGTGAACATTCCCGGCCTTGTCTGGTTTTTGGAAGCTAAGCAGGATTGGGTCTCCTTAGCGCCTGGAAGGGAAACCACCGGGTACACTGAGCGCCTCGCTGGGGAAGAGTGGCACCTCATGAGCAGAAGGGGAATGGCTTCACGTCCAGCTGGCGCCTCCAGGCCAGGCCAGAGAAGAGCCCTTCCTGGCATCCTTGGAAGTCACTGCCTGCCCGAGTGGACAACCGTGGCCTGGCTGGGCCAGGAGTCTGGTTTGGAAGATGCCTCCCTCCATCTCCCCCCCCAACCTGGAAATCAGGAGGCATTTCCTGACGTGAGGTGAGAACCATCAAGTGGTGGAACAGCTCGCCTCCCAATGTGGTGGGTGCCCCATCGCTGAGGGTGTTCAAGAAAAGATCGGGCAGCCATCTGTCCGGGATGGTCTATATGAGGTCTCTTCCTTTGGGCCCCAGGGGGTTGGAAAAGTCCGGCTGCAAAAAGGAACAAAGACAGCCCGGGGGGGTGGGGGGGGAAGGTGGCAAAGAGACCCCGCTTCTCCATCACCCTCACTGCATGGGCGTGATGCCAGCGGAGGTGCTGTGGGGCAGGCAGGGCTCTTATCCAGGCCTTGGGTAGGGAATCGGGGAATGGGCCGAAACGGTGGTGGGAAGAGAGATGGTGCAGCACCCCTCCAAGATGCTTCAGCTTGGGGTTTCCTGCTTTAGCAGGGGGGCCAGATTGGACGATGTCGGGGCGCCTCTTCCACCTCTGTCGTTTTAGGCATATAAACCCCCCACCACCACCATCAGGGGAGCAGAGCGTGCCAGTGCGTTCGGCTGAACTCACCGCCAGAGTTCTTGCAATCGAGAACCCTGGACAGGGTCCACTTTGTACTCATCACACAAGGGCCGGAGGGACTTCCAGGCAGGGAAGAGACTGGGGAGTGCCGGTGACATCCATGCCAACACAAGGGCCGGAGGGACTTCCAGGCAGGGGAGAGACTGGGGAGTGCCCTCTTTCTCTCTCTCTCTCTCTCTCTGTAGGGTTTCAGATTTCTGCCTCCCTAGTGTAGAAGCAGCCTGGGATGCGACACCACCGGGTGTCAAGGGTCCCAAAGGGAGTTGCCTCCAAGCCTTGCGCGTTACCCCCATCTCTCGAGGACATCAAATCACGGAGGACAGGCCACCGTTCGGGGCCAGCTCCAGTTCCTCGCAGACGGGGCCAAACCCAAAGGCTCAGCCGTCACACGGGAGTCAAGGTTTTGCCTCCCGCTGGGAGACCAGCAGCTTGGGAACTGACGACGCAGCACTTTTTGCTGCTGTCTTCTGCGCGCTCCAAAAGGCTTTGTGAAATATGGACTTAACGGAGCAAATTTAATTTTTTTCTAATGCATAAAACCAATCCTGGCTGTCTTTTTATTCACGATTTTAAAAAATAAAATAAAATAAACACCCCGCAGAAAGAAACTGAACACTCTAGATTGCATTTTGAAGGCGACAGCAGGGAAGTGTCCAGTTTTTTTAAAAGAGCCACTTCTGTGGGCTTTCTTGCAGCCAAGTTCTGAATTCTGACGGCTCGAAAGAAGAAACGAGCCCAATCAGGAGGAGATTTCATGCTCACTCCAGACGCGCAGACGAAAGGCGCTGCGGAAGAAACCCATCCAAGCTGCTGCATCAATACAGTCATCTCACGGGAAGCATCTCTTCCCTCACATTTGCACGCGCCTCGATAACGGGCTCCAACAAGCAGTATCGGGATCAAAATGAACCCTTTTGCTATTTCTTTCATCTGTACTGGAGAGAGGAAAAAAAACTACCTCATTTCTTCCAATTTATTTGGATGCCGTTTCAAATTGGTGCCGTCAACAAAGTGAGCCGCTCCGGCGAATGGCTCCTCTCCGCCTTCCGTCACGGTGTGCCTTTTTTTAGCAAAGGGGCAAAACTCTTGTTCCCAACACAACTTTTGGAGAACAGTTGCTGGGGAGAAGGAAGCCACGGCCTCGTTTAAGGCACTTTCAAATGATGAACTGAAACCAGCGGCCCTCTTAGGAAAGCCAGCCAGCCAGTGGGCAGCTCTGTAACGCCAGGGCAAGGTCATCCCGGAGGGACCCCAACGACGGGACTGCCGACTGTCGTGATTCGCCCAGCCACGCTGAGTTTTAAAAGTAACACAGAGGGAATCCCCGGTTGTGAGAACAGGCCAGGGACAAGAAGTGGTCGGCCACTGCCCTCCTCATGCACGTGGTTTGGCCCCTCCATTCCAACCTTCGCAAAGGACAGCTGACGTGATGGCGGTGGTGCTCACAGAGGCCACGAAGAAGAAGCCCAACCATTAAGGCTGCTGTTTGGATCCCTATCTTTCTCCCCTCCTCGGTGCATTAACATCCTACAAACGGGCGGATTCTTTTAGAATTCTCACGACATGCCCGAGCAAACGTAGATGTCGCTGTTTCAGTCAGGTATACATGCTAAAAATTCCAGCTCGTTCTAGGACTCCTCTGTTTGGAACGCTGTCCTGCCAAGTGATCCCAAATATGCGTCGGAGGCAACGCATATGGAAGGTGCTCAGCTTCCTCTCCTGACGTGCACAAAGGGTCCAGGACTCACTGCAGGACAGGAGTGTGCTCAGGACACAGGCTCTATAGACCTGGATCTTGGTATGTTAAGCCACACTCTCTTTGTGAGTCTTGAGAACATGGTAGCTGCTTTGCCAATGCATTTATCCAGCTCAACATCTGGGGAGAGGGTGGCAGAGATGGTTGAGCCAAGGTACACAAAGTCATGAACAACCGCCAATTCTTGTGTGGAGATGGTAAGAGAAGGAGGTGAGTCCACGCCCTGGCCCATGACTTGTGTTTTCTTCAGGCTGATTGTTAATCTGTCTAATTATACTGTTGATTATTGTTTGTGATTTTGTTGTAACCTGCCCACAGTGGCCTTTTAAGCCATATGGGCAGTCACAACAGGCAAGCTGTACGCAACAGGCCCCACCAGCGCAGGCCACTTGGCCCATCCACTTTGTCACAAAGGTCAGCTGTGACATTGACAAGGGGCAGAGAGACTCGGGCGGCTGTGGGCCCAGAGCTCCATTACATATCCAGTGCAGGTGTTGTTTCTGAGACCCTCCCGAACAACCTCAGGGACGTGTGGAAGGGCGACAACTCACAGTATTTCAATGCGATAGAACAATCAGAGGTGGAATTTACTGTGCAATAACTAGTGGCAGGCACTGCACTGAAGAGGGGCTAATTCTGAAGGCGCCTCGTGGTGCAGTGGTTCAACTGCAGGACTACAGCCAAGACTCTGCTCACCACCCAGGTTCAATCCCAGGTAACTGGCTGGAGGTTCACTCGTCCTTCCGTCCTTCCAAGGTTGGTAAATTAACTAACTAGCTCACGGGCAGCGGGGAGCAAAGTGTCGCCTGCAAAACGAAACTGTAAACTGCTCAGAGAGTGCTTTAAGCGCTATAGGGCGGTATAGAAGGAACACACTTTCCTTTTTTGTTTCAAATTGTGAGGCACCATGACTAGAAGAAGCATCTGGTTTTCCTCATTGTTTTTTTTTCTTCTTCCTCCAGCTTTAGGGATTCCAGACTCCCGCTGCTCAGCCTTCTGTCCTCTCCTTGCCCTCCGATTAACACGGCACATCCTCTGCAGATAAGCTTATTGGAAGGATAAACCCCTGAAGGCAAAGCTCGTCGGTTACGTACCTGAAATAACAGCCACCTTCCGGGAACCGTGCTCCTCCTTCGCTATTCTCTCGGCTTCCTCCATCAGCAGCATCCCGAAGCCCTGGAGGAGGAGAAAGAGGACAAGGGAACACATTTCTCAAACCAGAGGCAGCGTGTGATCTCGGGATTAGGTGGAAGAAGCGTCTTACACTCTGGAGGTGAGAGAAGCAGGACTGTGTGTCTGTGTGTGTGTGTGACTGAGGATATGGAGAGAACAAAGGAAGCACCATGACGGGAATACACAAACGCCACACTCGGGTCTGGGCTCCTTTCTGACTACGTGAACATGGCCAGAATCCTGGGCTTAAAGACTCGTAATTCGCACTAGCGTTGGCCCACCGAATCAATAGGGATTTAATGAATCAAGTCTTCCGTAAATTCCACCGGTAATGGGTCTACTCTGACTGCAACTTGCTACGCTAAAGGAAGTGATCCTTAGAGAGGCCCCCTTGGACTGGGTGCAAGGTTGTAGACACTCCCAAATCCCCACTGATTCAATGGGCTTACTCTAGCGTAGAGGTTCCCAACCTTGGAATTTTTGGACTACAACTGCCAGAAGCCCTTTCACCACCGGGATTTCTGGGAGCTGTCGGCCACGGACATCTCGGGAGCCAAGGCTAAGAACCACTACACAGGTGACGTTTACTACACCCAAAACAACAGGATTTGGGCCAGGATCTGGAAGCACAACAATGACTAGAGGATGGGGATGCTCAACTGCTACCAGGAGAACGAGAGAGAATTTCATACACAGGTGACGTTTACTACACCCAAAACAACAGGATTTGGGCCAGGATCTGGAAACACAACAATGACTGGAGGATGCTCAACTGCTACCAGGAGAACAAGAATTTCACGGCACCATAGAGAGGGCGTGACACATTAATCACACCAGACGTTCCTGAGGACTGGAGCCTATGACATCATTTCACTCAGGTTCCATGCGAGATCAGAAGCCATCAATATTCCCTGGTGGTTGTGTATTTTTCTAAATAGGGCATGGCTACCTTCTTCTGGAAGCTTGAAGTCATTCACAATCTCCTCAAGAACACTGCCCTCGGGAGCATGACCTCTGGAAGGACTTTACGCACACACCTCCCGTTGGATCTGCTAATCACTGTGCCCTGACTGGTGGTTCTGCCTGTTGCCCAACTGTCTTGCAAGAACTTTGAAAGAAGGAAGGGGGGGGTGATGGCCAAAAAATGGGAAGCACCCCGAGTAATACAATATCACAAGACACTGGAATGGCTAAGAGGCAATATGGGGGGCGAAAAGGAACGCTGTCCGTCGCCTCGATGACACGTCCACCGCTCTCTCCCCGCACGGCAAGAATGAAGCCAAGAGGATGGACAGGACCCTGTCTTTAAAAAGATCAAGAACCAAGCATTTCCACCAAATGGAACAACTTTTTGGGATGGGAAATGACTCTGGTGTGTACCACTGAGGACCCTCAGAACCGTCAAGGATCTCAGTGCTGGCTTTTCTGCCAAAACCATGGCCATGTGGATCCACCCACTAGGCCTCTAAGCCACAGCTGAAACCATCGCGCCCTGCTCGCCTGCTTTACCTGATCAAGGAGAGGCTGGCAATGAGGAGCGGGTCTGGGAAGAGGACGCCATGCAGCCCCTAAACAAAGAGACCCACTGGAAAGGCAGTTGTGATTTATTCTCACTCCCACTCCTTCTACACTAAACGCACCACGGTCCTAGTATCCTGTTTCAGGGGTGGGGGGTTGGGGGCAGAAGGGGGTGGCCGAGGAGGCAATTTGGCCAAGCGTCCAATTCGAGGAGACGGCCGGCTGCCCTGGCAAAACATTCCTTCCGCCCCGCATCTCTGCGTCATGAATTCCAGGTCCTCCATTTCCATTTGATTTCAATTTGTGAGTGTCAGGCTCTCTTCAATTGATTTCCCTCCCGCTACGCCTTCCACGTGCGTCAGCCACTTTCCGCTTTTGAAATTTCACTTTCAGGGGGTGAGCGTTCATTTTCGGCTCCCCTCCCCACTTCGCTTGCCTCATGGCTTCCCAGTCATTACTTTCAAACGCAAGTCACATTTTAATGCACCTACAACTACCTGAAAAAGCTTTAAGGGGGGGGGAACATCCCCTCTTTGCAGTATTTCTTTGTTTTTTCCCCCCTTTCTTTTAATCCATACTGAAGTTTAACCTGAAACATCAGCCCTGAAGGTTTTAGATACAGAGTGGAAGCTGATCAATTCTCCATTCTGGCAAAAAGCCCCCCCGACTGCCAGGCGAGGAGGGTACGAAAGCCGCACCTACTGGCTTCAGGCTGCTAAATTGGTTTACATGTATTTATTTGTGTTTCATTTACTGGAACTACAGAGAGTCAGCAGGCAGGTGCACAATTCACGGAGGGAATGAGAGACGAAGCGTATCGGCTGTCTCCAAAGGTCCGAAATCCGCTGGAAGAGGGCGACAGAGCAATTTAGGGTTTGCTTCCAAGACAAAACACTTCGTTTTAGTGGTCGATTCACGTTCATGCGAGGGAAATGGCGTCACTCTTGGGTAGCAAATGGCCACTCGCTAACATGGTGCTGGTTGTGTCCCTGAGCAGGGGCAGTTTTGCTGTCAGGATTTATGGCAATTTCCTGCGTGCAACCTGGACGGCGTGGAAAACATTTCCTCCATGGATCAGGTCAAGACTACTTGTACTGCAATGCAGGGACGTTCTTCCTGGCATGATGCAGCTGAGCTTATACAAGTTACTTTTAGGGATCACAAAACAGTACTTCTCTATTGCAAATTTGCAGTCATTTTAAATGCAAGCTTTCCGTTTTTAACTGTACCGGACAATCCTCCGTATCTGCAGGAGATCCGTTCCGCAAACGATCACGAATGCCGGAAACTGCGCATGGGGGCGAACCCTATAGACCACTACAGATGGGGTGGGACAAACACATACAAGGCCCTCCCCCTTGTATCCTGTATATAGGGTTGCAGTAAACCTCAGATAACTGAAACCGTGGATATGGGTCCTTCTAAAATTCTATTGGTTTTTAAGCCATGCTGTAAACCACTTTGTATCCCGTTTTCTGTGAGAAAGCTGGAAAACCAACCGACCGACCTCTCAGAATTTCCAAGCTGTGCTAAATGAGTAATTCTGGAAACTGCATCTCAGGGAAGAAACTCTTCTACGCTCCGGTTAAATTAGGGCATGATCTATCAGAGACGGTGTGCCCCCCGCCATGTCAGAACAAACTAACACCAAAAAAATTCCCCACAACAGAGAAAAGCACAACCTTGGTGAGAACTAGGCCAACATGTCCCTGACTTTGGCATCACAAAGCCCATGTGCAGCTCTCTTAAATCCTCCGACAGCTCCAAAGTAAAAGCTTAAGAGTCAAAATACTGCACCGAAGCCAGCTATTTTGGCTCTAACCTTCTCCCACGGATTCTTAAAAGAATTAGGTGCCCATGTGAGTATTATTACTTCTTTTATTGGCTTTATCTATATTCCACTTTCCCCTGCAAGGGGACACTTCGTGTTCTTGGGGCAGTAAGCCGTACGGCGGCCGTTGCAGATCTTGCATCCCGGCCGGGGATCACTGGACTCCCAACAACCATTCACTGTTGGCCAGGCCGCCTGTGGCTGATGGACATTGCAGTCCAACATCTTCTACAGGGCCACCCACTGGCTAAGTATTACGACAGTTACCCAGGACGAGCTCTTTGTGACCCACAAAGATCCCAGGACAATAAAAAAGGGTCCTGGACCAAACTCAAAACTCTCCGTTCCTGACCTTAAACCTTTCCTTGAGGGATAAGAGGCAGAACCTCAGAAAATGCCCAGCCCCAGAGAAGGAGGTGATCTACAGGCCAAGATTCTGATACTGCTTAATATGGAGGGGGGGCAGTAGATACCTGGTGCTGGAACTTGGAGGGGTCCCGGCTACTGACGGGAACGACGCTCCCGTAGACGTGAAGCTCTCGGACGATGGAGACGCCTCCCTTCAGCTCCGCCCGGAAGGTCTCCTCCGAACACTTCCGCAGCCGGAGGAGCCCAATCAGGATGTCTTGCTCGGGATCCTCGTAAGCGAGGAAGGTCTCCCAGCCGCCGTTGGCCACGTAATCTCTCCGGACCAGTTCCACCTGCTCAGAAAGAAGGCCCCAGAAGCAGTTGGAAATCATCGGACAGAGAGGAACCGCAGTAATTGGGTAACGCCGTGTAAAAAGAGACCCAAGCCAATTTCACGGCCGCGCGGGCAATTGTTTGGACAGGGAGAAAAAGAGCGTGAAATGGCTTCACAAACCCTCACCGGCCTTAGATGAGTCTTTAGCGGCCCTAGATGGAAGCCAAAGGTGAGATTATTGTATTTTCACGGGAGCCCAACCTTTTAAACCACAAACCATTTGTGGAAATGACACACACGTTTCCTGCAAACGAAAGCACAGCGGGCCTGCGACGAAGTATCTGCTGGCCATGTGCACTGCATCCCATCAGACCTGTGGAAGCCAGCGACACTGCGCACCATGCGTTATCCAACACATCTATTAGACCAGTGGCGGCGAACCGTTTTTTAGGCCCAAGTACCCGGGGGGGGGGGGGGAACCAGCGGGTGGCGTGTCATGGCGGTGGCAGAACCAGAGGCGGTGGTGGAAGGCGNGGGGGGGGGGGGAACCAGCGGGCGGCGTGTCACGGCGGTGGCAGAACCAGAAGCGGAGGTGGAAGGCGTAATCCCGGGCACAGAGGTGCCTCGGGACCGCCTGTCGAAGAGCCAGCACCGCGGCTGCAGCCTCCTCCTGAGGTTTAAAGTAGCAATCTGGTGACTTATAGCTTGCATGCCCATGGAAAGGGCTCTGCATGCCAGCTGTGGCATGCAGGCCATAGGTTCGCCATCGCTGTACTAGACTGTCACATTCCTGCCCGCCCTCCCCCCTTCCACCCCCAGGGAAGGGTTATGGGAATTAAGCATCGGGTCAGATGCAACATCGCATGCAAAGCAGGGCGTGTAGACAGGGTCCTGGAGCCCTGAGGATGGACAGAGCACAGGGTGACATTTGGGTGGAGCTGACCCTCAGTTTCTTGTTTCCATAATTTCACTGCATGCATGCACACAAGGCTACGGAAGGGCAATGTACATTGCACCACGGCAGCCGGAAGAAGACACATCACGAACAGCACTGCCAACCCTACGGCAAAGCCAGGAAGGTGGTGACTGCGTCAAAACGATGTCACACGTCCCAGTGACTCATCTCAGAACCGCACCAAGGATCATTTCAGACATCGGCGCCACTGTGGGTTTATAACACCAGTCTGTCTATGCTTATTTAGAACCAAAGTCAGACTGCATGCAGGGTGGGTTTGCCTCCTAGTCGATGCATTTAAAGAGACTGACGTGCTTGCCTCTAAGGGGGGAAAACCCCTCTCAAAGTGGCTTTTAAAATTTTTGTATTTCCATTCCAAGCCACAATAACAAGACTACTAACTTACAAAGGCAATCGTGTATACAAATTAGCTGAAAACTAAAGCACGCTGTTTGGTAAAATAACAAACACTGGTAAATATTTGAACAACAATCAACAGTACCCAGAAGCAGGAGAAGTGAGATCACCTCTCAGTCTGTGTTGGCTGCTTGGATGGCAGCTTTCAGGAAAGGGCTAGGAAAGTAACCCTCTCTCAAACCACACAGAGATGCTGCCAGTCAGAGCTGGTCATATTTGGCTTGACAGATTTAGGGCACATGCGTCTGAAGTATTTTGATTCCCCTCCCCCCGCTTCCCATAATGCAGAAAGTTTTAGACCTCAAAGGTTTGAATTCATTAAACTATATGAAGGTGCTTGAATGAGACTATAATCCAAACACATTCAATGGCTGAAATCCCGTTGCGTAGTTATGCAAAAGGTGCAACTTTTCATGGCACGTTACCGTTAAGAACTCTCTCTGGGCTTTATCTGTTGCACGATGAGTCCCGCAACAGACCACATCTATGGCAGTTTCTTAATTTACAGCCCTTTGCTCTTAAAAGCGACGCCTTTTGTGTAACCGCATAACAGATCAGTGGCCTGATTCAAGAAAAAGCAGCGCCATCCGTTTCATTGGAGGCCCCTCGCTCTTTGTCCGCCTTCCTTCGCTTGCAGGAAAGGGTTTATATTTTTAAAAAGCAACACCCACAGCTATGCGGAGGAGAAACCGGCCCCACCTGATAAGGTCTCACTTTGTGATGAATCTCCTGTATTCCGACTTCTCTCGTCCTCACATCTCGGCACTAGGTGAGGAAAAAAACAGAGACAACGCAGGCGACAATTACACGGGGGAGACACCGTGGGGCTACGGCATGTTGCCTTCTCCATCGCCTCCTCCAGAGTTTAAAATTAAGTTGGAATAGACGTACGCTGGTAATTTGAAACAGAAATGCCTCCAAATAAAAATGTTCACTGAGCCATCCCTAATATATCTTTAAGGGATACGTGTGTGTGAACACTGCATTCAAAATACAGAAACCTATCTGGTCGGCATCTGTTTCACAAAGCAATCTCTCTACCTAATGAAAAAATGCAATTTTTGCTTCAAAAATGACAAAGCCTCACTGAGGATGCAAAACTAATGCCGATCTGGCTGAAATCTAACAGGAAGTCAAAACCATTCATTTATTCATTCATTGAATTCCTATACCGCCCTTCTGACCGATTGTCACTCTGGATGGTCTACAATGCTAATGACATATAGTAACACAAACGTACTTAAACATATAAATTAAAATTAACATTACATTTTAAAACAGATGGCAGTTAAAAGAATAACTACTGTAGGCCCACTATATCAATGGTATTACATTTTAAAACAGATGGCAGTTAAAATAATAACTGTAGGCCCACTATATCAATGGCGCTTATACAGGAGTTGACTCACCAAATCGCCACTGATTCTATGGGCTTACTCTATCTGCCACTGATTGCTGGATTTCAAACTACTGTGTTCCGTGTTGGAAAGAAACAGTATGTGGGGTGGGAGGCAGGTTAATCCAATTTTCTGCATGAAAACACCTGCACAAGTTGTTTGAAATTGCCGGGAAGGTGCTTTTTGCACAAAGAAATTAGGTGGAGAAATTCAATATAAAGAAGAACAGAGGAGGGGAAAGGCCGTGGAGCTCAGTTTAGACCAGATCCATGTGGTTAGCTTAGCCTAGAAAATCTTGTTCAGCATCTTCTGGATGGAAATGGGTCACATTGACAGTTCCTGGATTCCCAAGTGATATTTTGGATGTTCTGCTGGGGTGAACTAAAGCAAATGTAAAGTATTCTGCTCCTCTATTGCCCCAAAATGCTTTAAGCACTCTCTTGGGACTTTACAATTCAATTATGAAGGCTACACCTTGCTGCCCCCCCCTCTCATGCCCTGGGGACTCCATTTATGGACCTTGGAAGGATGGAGGGCGGAGTGAACCTTGAGCCAGGTACTCAGGTCGCGAGGAGAGTCCTGACTGCAGCACTGCCGTTTAACCAGATAGGCGGGATATATATATATAAATGAAATAAATAAAAATAAATAAACCTAGCTGTCCCCACAGAGGACATTTCGACAAATGTTATCATCCATGGTCCAAGGTGCCTTCTGCCACCTTAAGGTAATGTGCTAGTGGCAGCCCTTTGATGATTGGCGGGGAGATAGTGGGACTGAAAGAAAGAGGGAGGATCAGATCCCTTGTAATCTGAACATGACCAACTCAGGAGGAAAGTGTTCCAACAAGGCTTTGAATGTGCAGGGGCCTTTTGAAGACTCTCTGGGACTGCTCTTGGTCCAGAGTTTTACCAAAAGAGGGCTGATCAGGATTATCCAAGGGTCTAACGATCATTATGAAAGCTGTGCTGGATGGGATCAAAGTCCCCTGCTAGGCAGGCAGACAACCCCTTCATGAGAAGCTGACTGTAAAATTTTTCCAGAAATCCTCACTAATTTTAGATTAGGCATTGTTCAGTCTTGAGAGACTATGGTCACATGCTCTGTATGGAGGACGAAACGGCATCCTATTGTGGCTGAGAAGGCCAATTTGAGAGTGACCATCCCTTCCACACTGAAGACAAATACAATCTGTCCCTTGTCCAGCTCCCTGGTTTGGCTGCTTTCAGGACTGCCTCTTTGCCTCAGCCTGCTGGACAAGGGTCTCTTCAAATTGGGAGGCTGTGATGCAATGCCTGCCTTCAGGCTGAACGCTCAGACATCAAGGTTTCCCATCTGTTGAGGTCCATTCCTAAGGCCTCCAGATCCCGCTTGCAGATATCCTTTTATCGCAGCTGTGGTCTCCCTCTGGGGCAGTTTCCCTGCACTAATTCTCCATAGAGGAGATCCTTTGGAATCCGACCATCAGCCATTCTCACGACGTGCCCAAGCCAACGTAAACGGCGCTGTTTCAATAATGTATACATGCTGAAAATTCCGGCTCGTTCTAGGACTACTCTGTTTGGAACTTTGTCCTGCCAGGTGATGCCAAAAATCACTAAGTTGGGCAGTTACTTTGTCCTGCCAGGTGATCCCAAAAATCACTAAAAAAAAAGGTAAGAAGAACAGAAAAACTGCTGGGATACCAGCTCACATTCCCTCCCCAGAGTAGCTGCGCAAAGACCTCGAGGCATCTTGGCACCTTCCCTCCATGGGAGACCCCTTCTCTTATGGAGGTGAGCTTTCCTTGGTTCTCTCAAGACCAATTGGAGCGACCTTGGCTTCTGCCTCCTGTGGCGGGGGTTCCCAGCCTCGTGTGCACCCCCCTTGTCGGCCCATTTCCAAAAACTGTACCCTTCCCCTTAGCAAAAGGTTTACAATTAATATTATTGCTATTCTTCCCAATTGGTGGGTTGCAACTGTAAATAAACAGCCGAACAATGGGATTAAAAACCAGGGGACTTGTATCTGGTTGTCTTACCCTGTGGATGTACAGAAGGTGCCCTTTTCCCACCAGTATACCATGTTTTTCACATCCCCCCCCCAAATGTCCTGGTTTATACCCCAGGGCAGGAATCACGGACCTCCAGGAATAAACCAAATCGGATTATTTGTTGCATGCTTTTTAAACATGGCAATAACTTGTTCTTTTTAGTCACGTTTATTTCGAAAGCCTGTACGCTGCCTGGGGGCCTTTTTTTAAAGAGAAAGGCAGGCAAAGTATTTAAAATAAATAAATAAATATAAATGCAGCCAGCTCTCCACATGCCTTGAGCAGGTCAGTAGGAATTCATCTCTCTTCTAAGCACCGTGCAACAGCTGTCCTGACCGGACGAGGTTGTAGGAAAGGAGGAGAGGGACCAAGGTAAGGGCTCTGTACGCTGCCTGGGGGCCTTTTTTTAAAGAGAAAGGCAGGCAAAGTATTTAAAATAAATAAATAAATATAAATGCAGCCAGCTCTCCACATGCCTTGAGCAGGTCAGTAGGAATTCATCTCTCTTCTAAGCACCGTGCAACAGCTGTCCTGACCGGGCGAGGTTGTAGGAAAGGAGGAAAGGGACCAAGGTAAGGGCTAAGATGGCCAGAAGGCAATTAAAAAATAATAATTGGGGACTCCTCCTCCCCCCCCCCGAGGATCCTAGCCGTCCTGCTCTGCTCCCACGCCTGGGATCAAAAACTGGATCCTGCAAGCCAACTCGACTCCGAAACGGGTGAGCCCGAAGGAGAGACACCCACAACACAGAGTCGTCTTGAGGATTCGCCTCTACCTGGGTTCCCAAGTCCTTCATCCGAGCCAAAGCGAGTTCCCTCAGGTTACCATGCTCGACTCCAGAGCTGACTAAAGGCATGGGGATATCCCTGCAAGCAAGAGAGAGAGAGATAGAAAGAGAGAGACAGAGAAAAAGATTGTTAGAAAAAACACAACCACTCACAACCACACCAATGAAGTCTTGCGAACGCACCAACTACCCTTTTCTCAATGGCTTCCCTGGGGCTACCAGTGCTCTTGACCCGGATGGCCAGGCCACGGAGGTGGGGTGCTCTGGTCCTTGGGATCACGAAGAGTCGGACATGACTTAATGACTAAACAACAACAATCGGTCACCTAAAAAGAATATCTCCCACACCCCTTAGAAAGTAAAAAGGGGGAAAAGTTAGAACAACCTCTGATGATTTTTTCCTCCTTATGTTCTGGCTGCCAGCTTACAGCCTGCTCCTCCAGGCACGAGAGGTGATAGGGAAAAGCTACGATCAGGATGGCAATCCCCAGACGGCCGTAGCTGGTGGACTCTAAGAGTTGGGAGAGGTGATAGGGAAAAGCTACGATCAGGGATGGCAATCCCCAGACGGCCGTGGCTGGTGGACTCTAAGAGTCGGACCCCAACCCACCTGGACAGAGNTGGGGGGGGGATAACGGTGTACGAAGGCAGCCTCGCAGACTCCCCTTCCCCCACAGCAGGCTTCATAGGGTTGTCATCCCCCCCCCACCCTTTGCTCTCTTCTGCATCCAAACCATTGCCACCCCCCTCCACACATCAGAATAATAATTAGCTCCCCCGTTAATTTATTCACCCGAGAGCAAACACAGCATCATTTAGCCGTCAGACTACATTAGCGGCCTTCAAACGGCGGCAATTAAGAGCCAATAAGCGTCCCCCCACTCAGCCCAGAGGACGTGATGGAGGGGGAAGGCAATTTCCATCTAGACACACTGGAAGGACAGCAGCCCCACGCGGGGTGTGTGTGTGTGTGTGTGTGTGTGTGTGTGTGTAGAGAGACACACACAGAGAGAGAGAGAGAGAGAGAGAATCTTGTTCCTAGCAAAGAACGGGGACCATGCATGATTCACAACGGGGATGGGGACAGAACCGCACTGGGACCCTCGCAAGCAGTCTCAGCTGCCCTCTCCAACCTAAGTGGTGGTCTCCGTGGGTGTGACAGCACGCCTGGTGCCGTCTGCTGCCAAGGGCACCTCATCTCTGCAGCTGCAGAGGAGTCCGGAGACATCGGGAGGTACTGCACGTGCCCCCAAACAGGAGTCGTTCACGAGAGCAGCTTGAATGGAGGCAGATCTTCTCCCCCTGAATCCCTCTAATCGAGGGTAGTGTTTAAGACACCCTTGTCTAGATCTCCCAACGGCAAATAAAGTATAAAACCCATTTCTGGCAAGAGGCTAAAGCGATCAGGCTTATGCATTCAGAAGTCCATGTTGTCCTTCACAGTACAGATAAATAATAATGTGCCAATCAAGTCAATTCTGACTTGTTTAGTCGTTAAGTCGCGTCCGACTCTTGGTCCAGCGCTCACTTCCATACATCGCTACTGGGAAAACCGTAGCTTTGACTAGGCGGACCTTTGTCAGCAAGGTGAGGTCTCTGCTTTTTGAGATGCTGTCAAGTTTGTCATTGCTTTCCTCTCAAGAAGCACGCGTCTTTTAATTTCGTGGCTGCTGACTTAGGGCAACCCTTTTTCAGGGTTTTCTAGGTAGGGTTAGGGCTTTAAAGTCGTTCCCCATTCCCTTTTTCTAGCTGTGCCCTGGGACTGCTGTGCAGCTTGCCCAAGGCCACCCAGGCTGGCTCAATCTGCAAGACACACCGCAGAGAATCCAACTCCCAACCACAGCCAGAGACCTAAACCACCAAGCTATCCAGCTAGCTACCAGAGAACCCAAAAGGATCAACCAGGGGGGGGAGCGGAGGGGGCCAGAGAGCCCCGTGTCATGTTTAAGATGGTCTAAAGGATCCACACTGGGTGGATAGCTCAGTGGTTAAGGTCTCTGGCTGGGGAGCCAAAGGCTAAGAGTTCAAATCCCCGTGGGGCCTCCTGGGAGAAGAGCCAGCCTGGGTGGCCTTGGGCCAGCTGCGCCGTGGCCCCAGGACGTGCCCCCAGAAGAAGGGGAATGGGAAACCACCCCTGAGTAATCTCCACTTACCAAACCTAGCAAAGAGTTGCCATTAAGTCAGAATCGACTTGACGGCAAGCTAGGTCCTTTCACACAACAGTGAACAATCCAGGGAGGTGCACCCTTGAAGGAGAGTGAGTTTCCAGGACTGGACCTGAACGGAAGCCTCTTGCATTCTTGGGTTTGGGCCCCTCCTGCCAGGCTTCACCTCTTCCCACCTTGGAGGAAGACCAGAAGAGGCCATGTCTCCTTGGCTCCTGCCAGCCCTTTCGGCCGGTGTTCGCTGACTGGATCCTGGGACACTTAGAGGCTCTTAGGAGAGGGTCGCCCGCCCCACTGCCGCAGCCAGGCCAGGAGGGTCCGAGCTGGCTGCGGGCATGAAGGCCTCCGATGCAGGTCTCGCCAGGTGTGGCCGGCTGAGGGATGAGACCTGGGCACGTTCTTTCCTGCTGCTAGCACACAAAGCGTCCAAGCCTACGCCCAAATCGCTGCTGGGACTCCTTGAAGCCAGCAGACCTCATGTTCAATCCGAATGTCTAGCCCGTACAAAGTAAGAGTAGTGGCGTCTCCATTTGGGGAAGAGGGAGGACAAGGTGCTTTCTCCCTCTCTTTTGGTTTGTAAAATGTCTTTGAAAACCTAAAGGGTTCAGAAAGCAAAACCAAAGGGAAGAGGCGGATGCAACCTGCACTAGGGTTCAATGAGCTTGGGAAAGGGACCCCCAACCTCCTGCCCACTCTAGTGGAGTAGCAAAGGAAGCCCTCTCAGGCTGCCCCCCTACTCAGTGCCCTGCAGGCGGCTTTCACGCCAGATGGGTTTCGAGGTCCACCCCTGTCCGTACAAACACATAACGGAGGTTCACTGCGACGTCAGCCATGTGACGGGCCAAGATGAAGCGTCTGGTATCAGCCCTGTTCCTTTTTATTAGCTGCTGCCTTTGAGGAAGCCAGCGATCACGAGAAATGGTCTGCCCTGACAATTACAAACGAGACATTTTCCCTTTGGTAGGGAAACAGGCTGGTGATAAATGTGAGGTTTAATTCTGTGCTGTGTTCTTGGCTGGCCACTGACGTCTTAGCTAAAATAGGACAATGTGTTCCTCCTTTCATTGATAAAAGTTAGTGGGCAAATGATATTGGCTAGTAAGAGTTACAGTGGGTGGAAGGCATTTTTTGTTGTTTAGTCGTCAGATCGTGTCCGACTCTTCGTGACCCCATGGACCAGCGCACGCCAGGCCCTCC